TAGATAGTGTGAGAGAAGGACCACACTAAGTTACTGGTTGCGAGTTGGGTGTTCTTGCAAGAGCCTAAGTATAAGGTCCTAGTGGTGCAGAACTTCAGAGTGGTTGAATTGTGCAAGATTGTCAAGTATGAGCAAACAGAATGGATTGCACAAGGTCTACAAAAATAACATGAGTGCAACTCTCCTATAGAGCTGAGTCCAGGGGAAAGGGAACTACTCAATTGTATGCACTGTGGTCATTTTATCATATTGCATGAAGGTCCAGAATGTGTAGGTGAGAATTGTAGTGTAGTAAGTGAGCACACAACAAGTCTATAGGTAATAAGACATTATGTGCTGCAGGACATGAGTAATGTGTAATAAGACCTGCAGCTCATTTAGCAATGATATTTGGGAAAAATAACACACCAGCAGAGATAGGTGGACATGGATAGGACATGGGAAGATGGATTCCTAGGACTGGACTGAAGCTAAATGAGAGCGCAGGTCACAGGAGGAGTGCACACCTATTGTCAAAGGAGCATACTAAAAGCAGATGAGTTGATATATATGGATTTAATGATCAGTGCTTTATCTCCTTTCCTGGGAGTGAGAAGAACCATGCTAGTGATCATATGCACCTAGTGCTGGTGCTGGTATGATTGTCACACCAGTGTCCTGTACACCCGGTTTTGCAGGCCAATATACATGTCCTATTAACAGGTTATGCAGCACTATAAAACTAAAAGGTGTGGATCTTATCATTGATATCAAGGTAGGCAATGCATGCTAGCAAAAAGCCTTGGGATTTCTCTCTATCTCCATCAAAGATGGGCAGCATCCCAATCTTGATCTCAGTTGGTTTTGCTGCTGAAGACATGGCTGGTGGTAAAGGCAGGATAGGTGATATGGTTCTGCCTAAGTTTAGTGCTCCAAAGATGGGAGTTAGCAAAGTCAGGGTGCTCTGTGATTCCTGTCATGGAAGCAAGACTTTGTGTGGCTCTAGCTGGAGTGGCTTCTGGTTCTGGGTTTAGCAGTGTGTGATAGTGCCATGAGGGTTCTAGACTTTAATCTTTTGTTACAAACTAGGATAGTTCTAACACTAGATGACTCAATAAGAGTCAAGACCTCTAGTGAGATTCCATGCCTCACAATAAGCAAGACATTCAAGGTAAACTAAGGCAGAGAGATAGTGTCTCTGACTTAAAGTATGGTTCAGATGACTTAAGATTGGGGGTCTTAAGCAAAGGAAGTTCCAGGTAAAACCTAGTAAGATTAAAGTAAAGAACTTGTCATATCCTGCATATCCGGATCTCAGATCAATCCACATCTATCTCCGATCCTATCACATCTTATCTCCCTCCAACATCTCATCATCCAATCTGCCTACTCATCTGGTCTAGTCCACAATTCATCCAAATCCACAATCAGTGCTTGTCTCCTTTTGGTAATCCCCTAACTCTGGTATTTTGGTTATCTGTATATCTGTCCTACTCACTGATCCATTACCTATGCTTCATTTCCATTTCATTATTTGTGATCCGTTCCTACTTACCAATAGACTATCCATATGCTTTGTACATAGCCTTGGATCCTGCTGATTAATCATTCTGTTAGATACCTATAGTATATAACCTCCTGTAAATCTCTGTAACACCTCAGTTCAAATATCAACTTAGTTCTGCTCATTCCTGTCCTCTGGACCTGAGTATCTCTACTCTCATCACCCTCTGAGACTTAGGATTGATTCCTATAGTCTATCCCTATCTGCCTCTGTCTATGACAGTCCAATACCATTAGTTTCTAGTCTGGACTTGTCTGGATTAGCCCTATGATACTTATCCTGCATCTGGAAGTCATCCAGATCCGCTATGCTACTCGTTTGACCCTCCAGACACATTAATCTTGCCCTTCTGAAATAAGGGGCAATACTTGGGTAAGGGGCACAGCACATGAGCTGAGGCCAAAGCCCTTAAGATCAGTTAGCCCTTGAGTAGGACCTTAACAGAACTACACAGGGATAAGTCACATATTTATAGTGAATAGTGATGGGAAGGTTTAGGGCAGGTGCAAGTAAGTAAAGCTACAAGCATATGCCTAATAAGGATAGAGCAACAACATCAGAAGTCAAGAAAGGAAATATGACATGTAACAGGACATGTAGATGGTATCTAATGGTAGCATGAGTAGCACATTATGTAATACAGTAAACATAAGTGAGTCAGATGGAAACAATAGATGACAAAGAGAGGAAAAGTACAGCAGGGCAGGGCATATTGTAACAATACCTGTCCCTAAAGTTACCCTTGCAACATACCTGTTGACCCACTCTCCTTGACCCAACACTATTGTCACTCATTCACTCAACATTCATTAACATCTCCAAGCTAGTCCTGATGCATTTCCTTCCTCTTCCTCACTCTCCCATCATCTTTGCATCTCCACACCTGCAGACCTGATTTCCTGCACATCAGACTTCACCCCATACCTTTGGACTTTTGACCCATTGTGTAGTACTGATTATTAGACTTGACTAGACAGCAGATCCCTTGGGTCAAATGCTCTTGCTTGCAAGTGTAGCAGCTAGGCAGGACTAGTAGACATATATTGGCTAGGTATTCTAACAACTATCTAGCCAAATTGTATTATCCACATCACCCTGAATGTTTACTTCATGTTCAAGATGAGGGATACACCACTGGAGCTGGTAAGGCTTATAATGGAAAAGTTCACTGTCCTGAAGTTTCTCTTGAATCACAGAAACCAGAGACCAATGGTAAAGGTCTGCTGCAATATAGGGTTGGGTGCCCAGCTGAGGTGTGGTGCGAGAAAATGGAACTTCAATCATCACTTATATTTTACACCAGCCAGCATCATCATCCTCCCATTTATCTTTCCCTTCAACATCAACACTTACTCCTAATTGTGAGTTGATCTTGTCCCATGGAGTATTTTTCACATCATTAGGGTTGTAATCCAGATGTCTGACAATGTTGACCAATTCCTTGAAGCTCTTATGAGACTTCTGCACACTGCCATTCCAATACCAATGACCCAACTGAAAAGATGACTGGTTGGGGTATGGGTGAAATGACATGTCAGAGAACTTATCAGGTATATCCACTGGACCAACAGCTGGGACAGAACTGATATCTAGGAGCATCATAACCTCTTCTGGGTCATGAGATGGGGAAGTTGATGTAAAGAACTGGTGTACTAGCCAAAAAATATTCCTCACTGTATGAAAAGGAGATACCTGTGATGATGTTTGGGCTTGGGTAGATGTGTCAGTAGAATTCACAGGTGTGTTGAACTCCAGCTGTTGAGGAGCCTGACAGGACAGAACACTCAGAGGAGGCTGCAGGAGTACATCATCATATTATCTATAGTGGACTGGCATATAAATGCCAATATGTCGGCTCCTCCACTGGGCCAGTGATAACTCCTCTTCATCTATTTCCATAGATATAGTGTCGAGAATAGTGTTACATGCTGGGGTGAGTGAATTCTGGGATGAATCTGCATATGATACCTCCTGAGGGAGGTGTGTTGTTAATGGAGCCTTGTCAACATTAAACTCTGAATGCAATGGTTCAGTGACTTTATCAAAAGATGGTAGCAGGTCATGGGATCCCATACTTGAAATTCTGCCATTGTTATTATTCACACAGGTCCATTTTGCAAAGCTGAGGAGATCTTTTGCTCTGGATAATACAAAGAACACATGTTTCTTGCCTCTTATGCACAAGTGTTGATACTTAGTGTATGTGCTCTCCTGTGTAAAGTCATGCATACAAGTGCATCTGAAAGGAGTTGGACCTGACAGTGCCATGTCCATGATGGAGATATGGTGGAGAGGGCTGAGAAGAATATTACTATGGTTCAATGTGAGAAGATCTGACAAAAAAACTCACCACTCCCATCCAGAAACACAATGGGGCAACCCTTGACACCAGTGATGGCCAACAGCATTACTGCCTGGTTCCCACAGACTAAGAGACTATGGCACCAGTTAATAATGGCATGAAAGGCTGGACAGATGAGCCATCATGATCATGTAAAAGCCACTGTTCCATTAAAGTAGAGGGCAAAATAAATCCTAGGCACTCAATAACTACCATCTTCACCTTCCTCCACTATCACTACCTCACCTAGCTATCATAAAACAGCTCAGAGGTTGGGAAATTTGATTGCAGAAGCTATGACTTGCTGCTTTGCCCTGTTACATTATGACAGTTCATCAAAATTAATAGTTGAATGGTGCTGGTAAGATATCACTCAAATTCTGGATGGATCCTGAGCAATGACTATTGAAAACATAGGCCTGCTGATAGTGAGGGACAAAAGATTCTGCCATCTGACTTAAAGGATTATCATGCCAAATATAATTTCAGATCTCTGTGCTGCCTATGCACTGACAGCAGTAGAAAAGGAGATTACATGGAGGCAACAGTGTACCCATGGTGGAATGAGATCAGGAAGAAAACTTACTGTTCCTACATTCTCTTTGGAGTGAGTTGTTGACTTAGCCCAGTTTCCCAGGTTTGCAATGTTGAAGAGTTTTCATTTCAGCATACTATTGATTCTGTCAATGGTTTCTGAAGCAGATCACCAAGTGGACTTTGATGACAAAGCACAATGAGCATGTCCCAAACACAAGAAAGTCATCTTCACTCTCAGTTTGAACTATATTACAATTTTATACCTTAGCTAACATTTCTAGGTTCTACTTTAGTAAAAAATGACTATTTGAAGGAGGAGATGTGATTCTGGTACTTCTGTCATGAAATGTCACAATCTGATCACATGATCAAGCAAAGTATGACTGTGGCCAATCTTATGTCCCCATACTCAGGATGGAATGAGTCACCCCACTCACTGATGCAGTGAGACTTGTCCAATGTAATTGTAAACAGTTTCTCAATGAACTTTTTGTTTTCCCAGAATATTTTGAATCAGGTGTCATTTCAAATACATTCTGGACTGGTTATGATGACTCAATGTTTAAGGAACTCAATTTCCTACAGTTCATCAGAACATGATCCAGTTTTCACAGTCAAAGTGCCCTCACTCACCCAGTAAACATCTTCTGTTGCCATGGACATTGTCAAGTTAATTGCATTTATCCCAATTTCTTTCAACTCATTGTAGTTCTCATCTCCTATGATGTTAAGTGGTGTGATGAGGACCATGATTCCATCACCATTGAAGAGCAGTAGCAGCCAGAAGTTGAGTGTTTTCCCAGAACCAGTTGCAGAGATCATGATCACATCTCACTGCTCTAGCTGACCAAGAGCAGATTTCACTTGCCAAAGGCATGGCTTATATCCAAAGACTTGTTCTGCAGTCTGTCGAATACTCTCTATGGATGGAATATTGTAGTGAGGATGAGCTATTTGAAGATAAGATAGATGCATAAAGCCTCCAGTAATTAAAAGTTTTGAATTGGGATATGAAATTTTGTCTGATTTGGGTAAGTAATGTTACTGAGATGGACCAATTGACACCATTCGACCAGGAATGGGTCTGACTTTTTTGGCTGACTGGCAGTCGCACAAACAAGGCCAACTTTTGCGCCACAGTAAGTTTTGCCAGTCAGCCCAACATAAGGTTTAAGTTTAAGTAAGCAACAAATCATGTGAATGCTCTAGGAATTGGCTGAAAACACACATTGGCATGGGGAGTCTCACTGCATTGGAAGCAACCTTTTTGAACACAGAAAAGGTGTGACATAAGGCATGAAAAATGGACAAATTTGGAATACCTTTCTGGCTGATGGATATGAACCTTGATTTAAAAAAGTTTGAGAGCTTTTGCATGAATGAACAGTTTAACTTAAGTAGCATTACAAGCTCGTCTGAGTGTTTTCTATTCTTACATAGAATCATCCACTTCATTCTTGATTATGTCTAACTGTTACAGTTAAGTCTCAAAATATAAAACACGCTGGACGCCTCATAAGTTAAACTTTTTATCCATGCAAAAGCTCTCAAAATTTTCAAGATCAAGGCTCATATCCATCACCCAAAATGGTATTCCAAATTTGTCCATTTTTCACACCTTTGTCATGCCTTTTCTGCATTCAAAAAGGTTGCTTCTGCTGCAGTGTCTGGACATTCACATACAAATTATCACCTGACTTGATCCAAAAACACATCTAATACAGACAAACAAATGAGATTATCGGTAGGTATTGCTAGAATTAGGGTGGTATCAGGTGAGGGTATCACTGCACCTCGCCCACCATCCTGCTCGCCATCCCACCACCTTGGACCTTCCATTCACCATGGTCATTTTCTTGAGCTTGTAAGATACACCTTAGTTCATCACATGACTTGAGGACAGAATACATGGGCAAGGATTAGGATTAGGCCTCATATGTGAGAAGAGTTGTTGCAGAAGTTGACCATCCTCTTGTTGATCTGTTATCAAATATCGGGAATTGGGATCAATACGATGGCTGACAATCACATCAACTTCAGATCTTTGGTTGGGTGAATTGAGAAAATCCTCACCTTTGCAAATTTCTACCCTTCGGATATAACAGCAAGGCAAGACTGCAGGCCTTTCAGACACCACTGCATTTTGAACCAGGAAAGCAGGTGACGATTCAAAAAAGTGTGGAATAGATGGCCGAGCCTGTCATCCCATGGATTCTGAGTGTGTGAAATATACAATGCCCAGTTTTGACAGGCATAATTGAGAGTGACTGAGGCTGTTCAACTTCGTTCTTGAGATTTGTTTGCAAAATCCATGAAGGTATTCATAGCGCGGATGATGTCCCTATCCGGTGGAGCTAGTGATGGTGATGCAGAAATGGAATGAGACTGGGGCCTCAACACTAGGAACATTGGAAGCATCAAGAAATCTGGCAAGTTCTTGAGCTGCTGGACAACTTTGAAGACTGGCAGTGAAGCCAATTCTGGTGCAATTTTATGCTCACTGATTGCTTCAACCATCCTTGAGAATTCTTCCATTATGACCCAGACAGATGCCACAGGAGAGGACTGCCATGCTTGGCCATGTGGCGTCTGGAGCCAGTCTTGCCTGCCTGAGTCTGGAACCAGTTTCACCCTCCCTGGGTCTGGAGCCAGTCCTTCCTGCACATGGTTTGGAGCCAGTCTCACCCTCCCTGAGTCTGCAGCCAGTCCAGCCCTCCCCAAGCCTGGAGCCAGCTCAGCCCTCCCTGAGTCTGAAGCCAATGTATCCCTCCCTGGGTCTTAAGCCAATCTTTCCCACACACAGCCGACAGCCACTCTCACCCAGCTGGGGTCAGGACCCAGTCTTGTCCTCCCTGGGTCTGAAGCCAGTCTTGCCCTTTCTGGGCTTGAAGCCAGTTTTGCCCTCCCTCAGTCTGCAGCCAGGCTTGTCCTCCCTGGGTCTGCAGCCAGTTGTGCCCTCCCTGGGTCTGCAGCCAGTCTTTCCCATGTGCATCCTGCAGCCAGGCTCACCCGTGTGTGGTCTGCAACCAGTCTCTTCCACTCATAGTCCACAGCCAAGCTTGCTCTCCATGGGTCTGCGCAGAGGCTTGGTGTCCCGGGATCTGCACCCAGTCTTGCTCCTGGGTCTGCAGCCAATCTTGCCTGCTCCTAGTGTGCTGCCAGTCCTCCCCTTCCTGCATCTGCAGCAGCCAGTCTTCCCCTCCTTCAGTCTGAAGCCAGGCACACCTGTCCAGAGTCCCTAGCCAGGATTGCAACTCTGAAGCATGATCTCTCCGAAGCCATAGCATACAGATTAGAACTGACAGTGGCTCCAGTGGCTGAATGAGGAAGGATAACGAGTCTTGTAATTTATGGGGTCCTCAGGTTGCATATCATAGCATTGCTTCTTCAGTTCTGAGAGTACATCCAAGAGAGCTGTGCTTTCTGGAATATCTTTCATCATCAAGTGGAGAGAGGAATGTGCAAGTAGGGAGTGAGGTGATGGGATATCGTGTACTTGAGGGAGGCCGCAGTTTGAGGGGTAGGAAACATAATTGCAAATGGATGAGTGATATATATTCATGGGGAGAGTGCTATCTGTAGGGATATCCATGATGGACCATAGCTGTATCAGCATTGTCTGCACATCCCTGCCCAAACCAGAGCCAAGAAGTGATGAGATTTGTGAGATGGGAAGAGGGTCTGCAAGCACAGTGACAATGGACAAGTAGATGTAAGCCGACTTTCGATTAGCACACGTGGAGAGGATACAATCATATAACTTGTACACCTCCATTCCTGGTAGCAGCTCGCTCATCAGCTCAAGCACCAGCTCTAACTGATCATGGGGAATGTTGTATCTATTGTCAATAAACTTCATCATTGTAGATGCCACAATGAAACATCTTCCCTGCTTGGCTTGCCAGCTTTGCAAGGTCAACCTCTGATGGCTGCAGGAAATTGGGATGGCAAGCTTCCAGCTCTTGGAAGGAATGCTGCAAGAAAGTACAGATGTCAGTTGTTGATGCCCTCCTCAGAAACTCCTACAAGTATCTCACACACCAACAGGCATACCTCTTCATTCTGAAATACTTTGCTAATATGCAATTCCAAGTGGCTTGTGAGCAGAATGTGGGTCACAGGTAGATCAGGCTCATGAAGAGCCTGGGTGAGGGAAAGGATGAGGTCAGTAAGCTCAGATTCAGATGTGCATTCATCAAGGGCATCAACAACAAATGTCAGAGGCTGATACCCACACAATCTGGGTTGAAGTTTCCGGAGGGGTTTGAGAAAGAGAGCCTCCATCTGGTCATAGAGAGGCATGTCTGGGTCCAGTAGAGCAGGATTGTCATGGATCGCTCTGTTCACATCCCTGCCAGATGCTTGGAAAATTATTGGCAAGCTGATAAGCAAGCATTGTGAAAAAAAATCCAGCTGTGCAACGTCTCGTGTGCTTGTGCAAGAAAAAGAATGTTCCCGCTAGCTGCATTTCGACACTCATCCACTCTGTCATTTTTAGACCTCTCATCCTCTCAGCTACTGTGAACGCAACAGTGGACTTTCCAATGCCTGCCATGCCATGTAGCCAGATGAGTTGATTCTTTTCTGTGTCATCCATGTATCTGTAGATGAGCTTGAGGAGACCCACCCAAGTACCTGGCAAACATTTTGGGTGGGGCTGACGTTCAGGAGAGTCATATTCAGCACCCTTGACAGCAACTTGGGACAGCCTCTCCCAGGTTCCTTCAAGAACTGTTAAAGAGGTTAGAGAGCATATGAGAGATAAGAGATGGAAGTACTGACATTGATTGTCACTCATTGATGAAGGTTGTGATATACAAGATGTAATGAACCAACAGAAAGTACTAGCTGGATGTGGTTATAAATTATCTGGGGCGATATTTATCTCGAGGGACGCCATACAAAGATTTGAACCAAAGTGTGGATTTGTTGAAGTCAAAGTAAGTTGTCAATGGTCCTGAAGTGTGATGGAGATGGGATGGAAAGCTTGCTGGATGGTGGTGGGTGATACAGTTCAAGGATGAGTGCTGGGTGCTCATCCAGTTGCAGGAGGCCACCAGGTTGCTGTGCATGCTTTGGAGTGACTGAAGTTAACTCCTTGCATTGAGTAAAACCCTGTAAATTTAGTACTAGCTTCTGAGTCAAGTCTGTGTTTGAATTCCGTCTCAACTCCTATGTCAAATTCTTATCAGCAATATAATTCAAGACACTGCATTTCAGCTTCAGCACCCTAGAGTAGTGGTACTACTGCTATGTATATAAAGTGAAGAGGAAGATTGAATGTATCAGGGGGAAGAGACCAATTCATCAGCAAATCCATGGGTTCCTTTTTGTCCCTTAGATTACTTAAAAATATTACCAAGGTGGCCAAGTCGAATAAGTCACTATTTTCATACTTAGTTCAATTTTTCTAAGGACCAATGTAATTACAAGTGTACCTAAGGTAATCTAAGGTGAGATACTTAGAACAAGGCAGTGAAGGCACACAAGTGAATCAAGGCCGCTGCATCACTAAATGCATATGTTTTAAAAATCAATACAACATATTTACATCTATTTGCTGACTAATTAGCTTGTTCCAAATAGTCGAAAAAAATAAGCATGCGATGAACAAGCAGTTTCAAAATGCAAAAGTTTGAAGGAAAAAAATAAATGGTAAGTTTTATGGTCACTGGTATCCTGTCAATCATTGATCGATGAGACAATAGTATGTTACATGGCTTCAAAATCAGCTTATTGCAGACGAGGGAGGTTTCAGAGGAGACGTCAGTGGTTGGATGTAGCATTTTGCACAGAGGAGGCGATCAGGGCAGAGGCAATGGCAGAAGAGGCAGAGGCAATAGCAGAAGGCTCACTTGGTTGCTGGGAGAGGTGGTTTTGGGGCAGGAAGGGGTGCAACATGTCGCTTAACTGTACTGCAGCTGCTGGTGAGTGCTAGGGCATCTTATTTTTGACAAGAACTCACTGATTGTCTTGATAGCCTTGTTGCAGTGACTCTGCCCATAAAAGTTTGTGCCATTAGCCTTGTACCAGTATAACCTCCATGTTTCCCTGCCCAAATTCAAGTTCTTTTTTGCCTGAAGTAACACGTTATGACATTGAGCATGAATGTCTCTAAAAAGTTATAAACAGTGAGTTTAAGGCCACTGTACACGGTCCCATAATACCTACCTGAGTACATGCTGTAACATGATACGACATCGAGCACAGTCCACCATCAGTAGAATGTCTCTAGAAAGTTATCAACAGTGAGTTTAAGGCCGCTGTACACGGTCCCATAATACCTACCTGAGGTCACACTATCTCAAAAGCATGATGATCTGTGTATTTGTTGACATAGTATGAGTTGAAGTCATTGTAGGAGTCATGTGGATTAGTTCCATGAGCAATAAAATTTGGCCCGTATACTGGAATGAGGTGGGCAGCACGAAAGATGCAATTGATATGGATAATTGAAATATCTGGAGTACCATCGTCAGTTGTTGCAGGTGTGACAATATGCATGCCCATGTCCGGATCATGTCTTTTGAGTACATGAGAGTACCAACAGACAACAGCACAAGTAAAATATGATGTTTGATACTTGAATGAGAAAAAGCATAGGACCTGTGCAACTGCAAGCCTGCCCATGGGAGAGTCCATGTCAGCATCCAAGTTAATGAAAATGCAATCATGCATAGCCACACCACCCCACCATGATGGTGTTGACCAGATATGCTCATGGTGCATGCCTCCGGTACCACTCAGATCACTAGGCGCATAGAATGTTGCAGCAGCAGAGTTAAAAAGTGTCACTTTCCCCAAGAATATTGGGGCTGTTGCAGGATTGAAAGGAGCAGGGTTGGGGTCCTTTGAATGGAGTTGGTCATGGAGGAATTCTTGAATCATGGCAGAAAAATGCAGAAGGTTGAGTTGAAGGCCAAGTGTATTGACATTCAGGACACAACCTAAGTATCATGAAGAAGGGTGGGTTGAGGAGCATATGAATTGACTTACGGGTTGTCACTCCAAGTTCAACATGGGATTCCACAAATGGTCCATTGAGAACTTCAACATCATCTCCCTCAATGGATTGACTTTGAGGTTCATGAACTTGCAGGTGCCCAGGGAGATCTTCAAGTGCTGTGTCAACCATTGTGTCCTCATCCAAGTCACCATCTTCATGATTATTGTGACCTGTTGTGGGATGAGAAGTGCTAAATATTATTTTAAATGATCATGCACGTTTTTGAAGTTCTCACAAAGCTTTGGAGAGGCAAGAGCCATGAAGCATGCCACATGCCTCAAAATCCACATGGGCAGCTGCAATTTTATTAAGGCGGTGGTTTGTTAGCAGCATTTGACCAAGCACCTTGAACCTGCTAGAGCGGCACCAGGGTTCTTTTACTGCTTTAATATGTTTATACTCTGTTATGGAGCAAAGGCCATTGGGTGCCCCGAAAAGTCGGATCATCAAGATGTAGTGACACATAGAATGCTGGCAGGGAAGAGAAAATGACTTCATCACACTGCTTGTCTTGAAGATCTCCTGGTATTGATGGAAATGGTCCAGGGCTTCTTGGACATGTAGAAGGTCGTCTTCAGTGAGAGCCTCACACCGTACAAGATAACAAAAATCAAGGCACACCCTAAATGCATGTGTTATGTCTTCAGGAACATGATCTTTGATTGCAGGTATATAGACCTAAATATTTCATGAGTTGACTTGCACAGGATGGAATTACTGCAGTGTACCTTCATTAATGCCTTAGAGTCATCGCCAGTCCACTGCTTGAATCCGCGCCCATCTGGAAAGTGTTGTAACCCAGCAAATGGGGCTACTGCTGCTATCCTTTAGTGTCGTCAGTAGTCATTGTTGAACATTCAATAGTTTACATACTTGCTGTCATATCCGCATATCTGGATCTCAGATCTGACCCTTATCTCAGATCCACATCTTATCTCTGATGCTATCCACATCTTATCCCCCTCCAACATCTCGTCATTCAATCTGTCCACTCGTCTGGTCCAGTCCACAACTCATCTGAATCCACAACCAGCGCTCATCTCTTTTCGGTAACCCCCTAACTCCGGTATTTCAGTTATCTGTATATCCGTCCTGCTCCCTTATCTGCTACCTATGTTTCATTTCCGTTTCATGATTTGTGATCCGTTTCTACTTACCAATAGACTATCCACATGCTTCATACATAGCCTTGGACTCTGCTGATTGATCATTCTGTTAGATACCTATAGTATATAACCTCCTGTAACTTTCTGTAGTACCTCAGTCTGAATATCATCTTAGTTCTGCTCATTCCTGTCCTCCAGACTTGAGTACCTCTACTCTCATCACCCTCCGAGACTTAGGATTGATTCCTATAGTCTATCCATATCCGCCTCTGTCCCCAACAGTCCACTACCATTAGTTTCTAGTCTGGACTCATCCGGATTAGCCATACGATACTTATCCCTCATCCGGAAGTCATCCAGATCCATTACGCTACTCGTCCAACCTTCCGGACGCACTAGGCTTGCCTTCCTGAAATAAGGGGCAATACTCGGGTAAGGGGCACAGCGCACGAGCTGAGGCTGAAGCCCTTCAGATCCAGTTACCCCTTGAGTACAACCTTAACACTTGCAATCAATATCATCCATAATTTCAGCTGCATGGTGAGCACTGTGTGTGATTGTCAAGTACTCTTCCACCCAATCAACTAAGTGGTCCTTGAAAGTTCCCTTGATGATTTGGTGCAAAAGATCGGGGGAGAGAAGCTCATGGATATCCACATGAGCGAAATCATTGGTGAATGGCTAGCAGAGAGAATTTATATAAGGCCTGGTAAGTTTAAACAGTATGCAACTTACAACAAGATTGCCAATGATGCCGTACTCAAATCACAGCTGTTTACACATCAGTTGGTCAACAAGTAACTCTGTGTGTTCTTCACACTGATGCAGACAAGGCTGACCACTGTCAAGATCTTTGGGATCTGCCAGACACCTATAAAGCATGTACTAAGAAAAAATATAAATAAAACAAATTTTGTCATACCATGGACACCATCGCTGCACAACACCAGATAGCATTACCTGCTCTGGGTAATCAGCAATGTATGGGCCAATGTCATATATTGTTCATCGAAAGTGGCCATTAGGAAAGTGTGTGATATCAGGAGTTTCCATGAACATTTTCACAGATTCAAAAAATTTTGCCAGGGACCACTGGAAGAGTTGTCACTGGAAGTTTCTGTAATGACTGCACCCATTATGTTCTCTTGTGCCTAAACAAACAACATGGGTTTATGATACGAGATATTGACATGTGGGTACTCACTTTTTGGTATAGCAAGAAACCCAACAAGTACAACACCATTGCAATGTGCACATCACACACTATTGAAAATATTACCAATCAATAGGTAAAGTGGGTGATACTCTGTGTGTCCAGTAGCAACCAAGACAATTGTCTTGTCGCTTCCCATGATCAGTGGCACAAATGTTGAACCATGGGTCCCTGGATTTTGAGCAATAAGATCCTTAATATGATTGTCAGCATGCTATGATTATGACTTGAAAAAACATACTGCTTGCTTCCATGCCCAATCACCTGACATAAGGTTCTTCCAGTACCATTTGTTGTCAGTGGTGTAGTCACAGTAGGGCAAAACTTCAATTTCCCCATCAAAGTCAGGATTTGCAAGCATGTTGCACACAAGTTCCAGTGGGTCTCTACACCACACATCATATTTGGTGGTCATCCACGGTGGTATATTGTCTTGTGGTTTGATGCCATTGTAGCACATCGTGAAGCTCTTCCAGGGGACATCACCTAGCAGGGTCACATCAATGGCTGCATACATGTCCTTGTGTTACAGTCACAGTTACCCCCTATCTCTTTTCTTCTTATCTGTGTATTACGTCATGACCGCGCCACGTTGCGCCATCAGTAGACTGTGCTTTCCATATCTGTATTACACCACGATCGCCGCTGCTGTCGCTAGGTGACTCATTTCCCTGATCTCTGACTCGTCTCGATGACGTCATTTCCCTTATCTCTGACTCGTCTTGATGACGTCATTCCCCTTATCTCTGACTCAACTCGATGACGAATACGTACCTGCCCTAAAGCAGGCTACTACTATATAAACTAGGTCTTGTACTTAGGTAGACTTCACTTTAATCTACTAGGTCCAACCTGAACTATCCTTCGCTTAAGACCCCCAATCTTAAGTCGTCTGATAACCGATATTCAAGTTAGAGACACTCTCTCTAACTTGTCTTAAGAACCTTACATTTGTGAGGACACGATCCGGCTTTAGGCGTACTCTTATCGAGTACCTATTGTCGCGCCTATCCTAGTCGACTTACGGTTCACCGTAACAAAAGATTAAAGTCCCCACCACCGACCCTCTCCATCAAGAGAGGTTATACAGAAACCAGAAGAAGAACTCAGCGAGAGAATGAAGAACGTTCCCCTGAACCAGAAGGCATCACTAGACCAGACACTCAGGATGTCCACCGTCACCAACACCCCAGAATTGAAAGCCGGCACTCCGTCTACCTACGATGGGAGCCCTCAGCAGGCACTACGTTGGTTGTATGCGATAAAAGTGTACTTCGCGCTTAACGCTACGATCTACAACACTGATGAAAAGAAGGTTATTACCGCTCTTGCGTATATGACCGAAGACAGTGCTATGGGTTGGGCACTCACCTTCTACACTGAAGTCGATAACTCCGCCGCGAAATCCTACGGGACTTTTGTGAATTTTGAAACCAAATTCAAAGAAGCCTTCGTACCTGCCGACGCTGTCGGTACCGCCATGAACAAACTTAGGACGTTAAAACAGACGGGCGATATCACATCTTACATCGCTAGCTTCAAGACCCTCACCGCACAAGCTGGTGTCAAGCAAGACGCCGTCCTAATCACGTTCCTCAACGACGGATTGAAGAAGGGAATCGTTAACTCCGTCTACCAGATGGAAACCATCCCTACAGATTTCGACAAATACATCGCCGCAGTCGTCAGACTTGATAGCAACTACCAGAGGGGTGTCGCATTCAGATCCAACCATCGAATCACCACCAAACCCTCTGGGCAGCGCTATGTACCCAGACCTTCCATTGATCGACACGACCCAAACGCCATGGAAGTAGACTGGCTCACTGAAGCCGAAAGAAGTGACCATATGAAGAAAGGACTATGCTTCACCTGTCACCAGAAAGGCCACCTCACCAGAGCGTGCCCGCAGAAGAAGAAGATCCCAGTACGAAGGGAGGAGATGAACGATAGTGACCTAGACGATGAAGATACAACGGTCCGTCGCCTCGCCGAGGATTTTTAGTATGGAAGACTGGATCGACGTCAGTATCTTCCGATGTAACCATCAGACTTGTACAGAGTATTGGAATAAGAAAGGAACTTCGCATTCCCATTTCCCTCATCTCCAAAACCCGTCTGAAAACCGTCGAAACGACAGCCGTTGTAGACTCCAGCGCTGCCGGAACCTTCATCTCCGAAGAATTCGTCAAGACTCATGGGATTCGAACGCATAAACTCTCAAAACCATTCCAAGTCACTACTGCGGATGGAAGTTATGCGAAAGGAGGCGCTATTACCAGATACTGTGTCCTCATTGTCAAAATAGACAACCGGTCTATGATCGGAAAGTTTAATATCACACGGCTTAGCCGACGTGATCAGATTTTATTGGGAATCCCCTGGCTACGCGCTATGGACCCGGTGATCCGATGGAAAGCAGAAACACTGGAACTTTCCAGGACAGAGAAGAGCGACCAAATTGAAGAAGAAGTCGACAGAGAACGGAAGAAGAATAGTTTGCCTCCCCTCTTCCGTAAAGAGTTAGAAAGAGAGGAACCGATCCCGGTTGTAGTGCTGCCCAAGGCGCCTCCCAGGAAGACGGCTGAAGAATCACCACGCGCCACAATCGAAGAAATAATCGATGAAGAAGCAGTCCCATCGGCGCTGCCTGATCTGGACCCTATACCTGACAACGAGGACGACTCCTTTGACACAAAGGACGACGTATGGACGACTAACTACACACCACCCGTGCGAGAAATCTCTACCTATCATCTAGAAGACGATGAGTTCTTAGTCGAGTATCCCGCCGATGCCACCGAGCTCCGGGTAATCACCAACGTCTTGTTAGACACCCCGTTAACGAAAGACGGGACTAGTACTTCGGAAAAACGGCAACCCAAGATCACACCTCTACCGCGACCCACCGAATATATCAAGACCAGTAACAAAGCACAGCAATTTGCATTAGCTGCTGGACTTGAACAGAAGAAGAAGTCATTCGAAGAACTTGTCCCCTCTTACCTTCACGACTTCGCCGATATCTTTGCAAAGGATGGCCTGAATCAATTACCACCGGAACGACCTGGAATAGATCACCGAATAGACACCAAGCCTGGGTTTATTCCCAAAACGTCCAAAGTATATCCGTTATCCGAGAAAGAACGGGTGGCAGTCAAGACATTCATTGATGAAAACGTTCAGAAGGGATTTATCTCAGAATCAAAGTCGCCGCAGGCTAGTGGCTTCTTTTTCGTAGGAAAGAAAAGTGGAGATCTTCGTCCTTGCCAAGACTATCGGTATATCAACGAATGGACCGTCAAAAACGCCTACCCACTCCCATTACCGCTTTCCCTGGTCGCTCGGTTACATGGTGCCAAATATTTTATGAAGATGGATGTTCGGTCCGGATACAACAATATCCGCATTCACCCAGATGATCGATGGAAAGCTGCTTTTACTACGGAATACGGGCTCTTCGAGCCAAACATTATGTTCTTCGGTCTTTGCAATTCCCCGGCTACCTTCCAGGCATACATGAATAAAACGTTCCAGCAGGAGATTAATGAAGGATGGCTCGTCATATATATGGACGATATCCTGATATTTTCTAACGACCTCACTTCCCATCATGAACAAACCCGGCGCGTCCTTGAAAGAATTCGGCAAGAAAGACTTTTCCTTAAACCGGAAAAATGTACCTTCGACGCTCAAGAAGTGGAGTACCTTGGAATGATTATCCGCCTGGGGTGTGTAGCAATGGACGATGCTAAAACCACTGGTATTCGAGAATGGCCTACACCTACCACCGTAAAAGAAGTTCGGTCATTCTTAGGTTTTTGCAATTTCTACCGGAACTTCATTTCCCATTATTCCGACATCGCCAGACCATTGATTGATCTCACCAAGAAAGACGTCAAGTTCCTTTGGACGGAACGATGCACATCCGCCTTTGCCGAACTAAAGGAATGCTTTATGAAGCAGCCAGTCCTTCGGAACCCAGATCCTTCCAGACAGTTTGCTGTTGCCACTGATGCATCTCTCGTTGCCACTGGAGCGGTCCTGCTCCAGACCGATGATAACGGCGTCTATCACCCCTGTGCATATCTGTCTCAGACATTGAACCCCGCAGAACAAAACTATCAAATCTTTGATCGAGAACTCCTGGCAGTTATTCGTGCATTGACAGAATGGCGTCATTATCTGGAAGGGAACCCTCACCCTATCATCATATTCACCGACCACAAGAACCTCCTGTATTTTAGAACCGCACAGAAATTAACCCGCCGACAAGCCCGATGGCAGTTAATCCTGTCATGTTACGATATCGAACTCCATCACGTCGCCGGAACAAAGCTTGTTGCTCCTGATGCCCTTTCACGTCGCCCTGATCATGGGACAGATTCCCCCGATGATAACACCAACGAAACACTCTTACCAGACTCCATGTTCATTCGCCTCCTCGATACTGAACTCATGACCACACTCATAAATCCTGATCCCTCCGACCCTGACCCCATTTTCTCTGCTGCTTCCGATGCATTGGATGGTCTGTCGCTTCCCCCCATGAAATCCGCCCTCTCAGACTGGAAAATCAAGGACGATATCCTTTATTACAAGGACCGCACCTACATCCGCCCTGCCGGTCGGCACCTCATATTAGAACGATGTCATGACCACCCCACCGCCGGTCATCCTGGCCGTTTCAAAACAGAAGAATTGGTTAAATGTGATTTCTGGTGGCCCGCTATGGGCACCTACATTCGCAAATACGTTGAGGGGTGTGCCCTCTGTCAGCAAATGAAATCCGACACTCATCCGACAACCCCCCCCCTTGTCCCCATCTCCTCTGTTGCCGCAGCTCCCTTCACTCAGGTCTCGGTTGATCTTATCACCGACCTTCCCCCCTGTGCGGGTTTTGATTCTGTCATGGTCGTGGTCGACCATGGGCTTATGAAGGGGGTAATTCTTATCCCATGTACCAAAACCATAACTTCCGAAGGAGTCGCCAATAAATTCTTCAAATACGTCTATCGGCGATTCGGCCTGCACGAAAAGGTTATTTCGGATCGTGGTCCACAATTCATATCCAAGTTCTCTCAAGCTCTTGCCAAGCTTCTGAAGTACGACATAGCAGCGTCAACCGCCTATCACCCCCAGACCGACGGACAGACCGAACGACTCAACCAGGAATTGGAAATGTACCTTCGAATATATTGTCGGAATCATCCCGAAAATTGGGTAGAACATCTCCCCATGGCAGAATTCGTCCATAATCATCGAAAACACGACTCTCGAAATGCATCCCCCTTCTTCCTCATGATGGGATATGAACCACGAGCCCTTCCACATACCCTTTCCGACTCCACGGTTCCCGCAGCAGCGGATAGACTCCGTTCGCTCCAAAAGTCTAGAGAAGAAGCACTCTCTTGCCACAACCTTGCAATGCAACGCATGGCAGAAAGAATGCACGGGCAGAAGTATCATCCCTGGAAGATTGGAGATAGAGTTTGGTTATCTGGAAAGAACCTGATCACGCAATTACCCTCGCGAAAGCTTGCCCCCAAACGATATGGTCCATTCCCAATCACCGCCATCCTGTCTCCCATCACGTTCACACTCCAGCTACCACCTCAGTGGAAGGTTCATCCCACATTCCATGCTTCCGAGCTATCGTCCTATCACGAGACAGAAGTACACGGACCGAACTTCCACGATCCACCCCCTGATGTCATTGATAACGAAGAGGAATATGAAATTGATGCGATCTTATCGCACAAAGGAACGGGTAAACGAAGACGCTATCTCTTATCATGGAAAGGATATTCATCTGCCAGTAACAAGTGGGTTCCTGAGGAGAATCTCAGGAACGCTTCCGATATCCTTGTCACCTATAAGAAGGCCCATGGATTGTAAACCTCCCAACAATGTCCCACATCGAACGACTATGCCTTTGCATCCTTCGTATCGAAGAACTTACCGCTGCCATGAACACTGTCGCTGAAGGAAATGCCCACCCCCTAACGCTCCTAGATTACCAGACTGCCACTGCTGCCAACCTCGCACAGCACGCATCCCCCTCTGGAACATCGCCACCTACTTCGGACTCTACCCTCACCCTTACCGACGATTCCACCCTCACGGACTACTTCTCTGTCATTGATCAAGTCGAAACCAGTGCCCTGTTCGAATCCGCCATTACCTCGCAGCAATACGCTATTGAGATAGATCGTCTCCTCGGAGAAAGAGGAGCAATCTCCAGCGGTCTGATAATTAGGATTATTAGAGATGCCAGCCTCATTGATCGCACCGCCGCACTTCTTGACGATGAACGTCATCAGACTATCTTTCGTCACCTTCACATCCGCATTCGCAATACCGCAATCCGACTCTTACCAGAAGAAACAAGAGACGCTATCAGAGAAGCCATTCACATCGTCACTGAGCAAATCACTCTTAACCCTGTCGCACGACCACCCTCCCCCCATGTCGTCGTCCCTGTACCTCCACCAACTCACGTCGCAACTACCGTGGAACATCAGGATGATCTTATCCCTCCTATTGCCGTACTTGATGTACCGGCTTCTCCTTCTCCTGACCCAATCACACGTACCACACGACGACTCCCGCTCAAGCGGAGATCCTCCCGCCTCGCCGCCAAACGAGCCGCTTCCGTCTCCCCCACTAAAGCACCACTCAAACGATCACGGTCGCCTTCCCCCCCAGCCCAGTCTTCATCTGTCACGGTTGTGAAAACATCGCCGGTTGATAACGTCGTATGTCGTAACTGCCACATCGCTGGCCACCGTCATAAGAATTGCCCAGCGTATTACTGCAGAGTCTGCAAAGAGTACACGCCGGGTCATCTGTCGGTCTTCTGTAGAGAGTTAAAAGGAGAAGCGGTTATTCCTTTGGTATGGACTGACATCGGTTTCTACGACGCACTCGCTCGCTGGGAGATTGAGCAAGACGCCATCGCTCATGCTGAGCATCTGGTGCAACCTACCATCACGGAAGAACAAGACGACCTTCTTGATTCCAACTACGACATGGACCCCATCTACTGGGCTAACCAAGATATGTGAAGTCGGTGACTTCATCGCTAAACGAGGGGTAATGTTACAGTCACGGTTACCCCCTATCTCTTTTCTTCTTATCTGTGTATTACGTCATGACCGCGCCACGTTGCGCCATCAGTAGACTGTGCTTTCCATATCTGTATTACACCACGATCGCCGCTGCTGTCGCTAGGTGACTCATTTCCCTTATCTCTGACTCGTCTCGATGACATCATTTCCCTTATCTCTGACTCGTCTTGATGACGTCATTCCCCTTATCTCTGACTCAACTCGATGACGAATACGTACCTGCCCTAAAGCAGGCTACTACTATATAAACTAGGTCTTGTACTTAGGTAGACTTCACTTTAATCTACTAGGTCCAACCTGAACTATCCTTCGCTTAAGACCCCCAATCTTAAGTCGTCTGATAACCGATATTCAAGTTAGAGACACTCTCTCTAACTTGTCTTAAGAACCTTACATTTGTGAAGACACGATCCGGCTTTAGGCGTACTCTTATCGAGTACCTATTGTCGCGCCTATCCTAGTCGACTTACGGTTCACCGTAACACCTTGTGGTTTGCAAAGGGAGGAGCATCATCATGTCTGATGGGGGTTGCAGCCCATAAGTCAAGGAGCATGTCAATTTGCTTTGTGGACATTTGGTTCTGTGTGAAGAGGAATTCTGCTGTCTTGAATTCGACTCTGTTTTGATAAGGTGTCCAGTCAGTGTAGGGATTTCATTTACTGTGGGCTTGTAGAGGCAGATATTGCTTAGTGTTATGTTCGCACTTTTGGTGCTTATGTAATCATCATAGTTTTCACCTCTTACCAGTACCAGTCTGAGACTGAGCAGTTTTTAGCATGATTTCCTACTCTCTCTGAGCACTGAGCTTAGTCCAGAAACCCTTTAGGGTTGAATAGCAGCTAGGCATAGCACATTTAGCCCAACATTAGAAGTCTACTTTCCAGTTCTCTTCTTGTTGTGTTTCCCACATCGGTTGGTGGGGCATCCATAAGCAGCAAGGGAGGTGTATCTTGCTCAATAAATGCACCATCAGCATCACATTTAAGCCCTGAGTTGTGATAAAAACCATTCAATTAGATAGCAAGGAAGGACTTGATAAAAGACACCTACCTGTGAGATGTGGATGGAACACATGGAACAAGCGTCCCATGTCCACCCAAGTACATTCTTTGGGTATGAATCCTGGATTCTCCTGCTCATCCTCTGCACCATGATGAAAATGATCATCATTTTCCCTTGCTGGAGTTGGAGATCATGCCCTTGGAGCTATGAAGCCAGGACCTGGGACAGTTCAGTTGATCTGTGGGAGTACTGAATGCTTCATGTGATTGTGCTTCACCAGACCAGACTTGTTTTTGAATATACAGTTGCAGCCTGGAGCCTGACAAACAAGCCTGATCGTCCTTGGGGCCATGTTGGGCAGTGGATAAGGTGGCAGCAAAGTACTGGGGAGTGATGCAGAGTTTGAGCTGCATTAAGTGTGTGAATTGTACACTATTACATGTTCAAATAAAAAGCCTCACTGTTTTCACCTCTTTCTCTACCACCCCACATTTGATATCCACCTACTGTCGACGTTTTCTTCTATTTGAATGCCTCAAGTTGCAACATGCCCTAGCAATGCTAATAAGCACCCAGGACAAATTGTCCTTGACACAAATTGAGTACAGCGTCCCAGGGAAGTGGTCACAGCTGAAAAAAGTCAGAAAGCAGCAGTGAAAGTAGCTAAGGCTGCTGCATTGGACAGTACTCACAAGCAGATTGCTGCTAAGGAGGATGCCATGGCTGTTGAGCAGAGTGCCCAGCTTGCTGGCCCTGGACTGCTCATTAGACCAAAGCCTCGCCCACTATTGAAGAAGACTAAACCCTTAGTGTCATCCCTGGACTCAGAAAATGCAGCAATGACTATGCCAGGCCCTAAAACATGTAAGCAAGCGATACATGGTGATCCAAAGTACTATTGCAAGGACTTACCATTAAAATTTGACTGATATAGCTGGCAGTGCAAACACAACTCAAAATGCTGTGAACACAGGGAAGAACAAGTATCAAGATTTGAAGATCACCTTTAAGGACGGCGTCAAAGCGAATCGAAAGGTTTCTAACACCAGTGTATCCACTTTAAGTCAGACATGTGTGGGAAGCACTGATGGGAAAATCAAAAGAACATTGTAAGTTCCTATTTCGAACAACAATGCTGCTTCTATCAGAACTCACCTTGTATTATTTTGATATTATTTGTTCGCTGACCCATAGCACATCCGAGTCTTCCACACCATGTTCAGAGGAAGTGGGAGTAACAAAGTGGGTGAAAAATGTGGTGTCCAAGTCCCAACTGCAGCCCTCTGCACCACCAAGTACACAAAGCGCTCAGGGTATGGATTAACTTGTGTTTCTGAGCAAGGCTAATAGTATTGTCAGTGGTCTCGAACAACAACTTGGAGTGGACAGAAGATGTTGATGAACCTGAGACATTTGATGAGCAAATGGTTAAAAATCAGGCTGGGAAAGTGAGTGAAATTGCACCTTCATGGGTAGTATACTAGAATGAAGGCAGGATGTTGTGCATATGTTTCAGACTGCCAAAGATGTGTCCAGGGGAAAGAAGCGTGCCTTTTCCAACTTGTTGGAGGAAGAAGAAGAATGTGAAGTCCAAGATGATCCAGATGCTGATGAAGGCCCTAATGTCGATAATCCAGTAGACGATGTGGACAATGATGTCGAGATGGTAGATCAGCAACTGCCTGAGGTTGGTACCAAGGTAAGGATCAGATAATGCAACTAGTGAATCACTTGCCACAAATCTACTAGGCCAACAAAGCAGTGAAAACTCAGCTCACAACCTCTGTATGCAGAATTTTCAATTTACTGACATAGCACGAGAGAGCTGACAAATTCCTTCAACAGATGTCAGTTGATATTGTTGAGTCAGATAACTCAAAGCCTGTCAAAACTGAAAGTGCAGCCAACTGACAAAAGATGATCAGCCTCAAGAAAGAAAAACCCAAGAATGCTCACTTACCCAGCAATGCTCAGAACAGAAAATGGTGTTCTAAATTCCTTCCAGCAGTAATGTACTGGGTTGGAAACTCTAACTATCCTTGGACCATCCCCGATGACAAACTTTTGGACATCTGCTACAATATTTTCAGCATAGTGTACAATGGTGCACCCAGAGAATTTGAGGCCAACAGCTAGAGTGGTGGGTTTCATGTGGTGAGTAAAATATTATTTCATATTCAAGTCAGTAAACTATGTACATTTCAGCAGGTTTGTCAAAGGATTTCAGAGTGGAGGGGAGTCTTTGGCTCCACTGCTGTCAGTGCCCTGGTGACGTTTTTTGCTTCAAATGATGACTTCCAGGCTCCCAAGGCACGAAAGGAATATGCTGAATATCAGCTCGAGGACTCATGCTTCATGTATGAAGACCCAGACAATGAGGACTTACCTGGAGCCTTTCTGTCTGAATTCATCTTGCATGTTTTTGCTGCCCACCTTAATGCTATCCAAGGATATGAGAAAATTGACATAATTGACTGTGGCTTACCTGGACACCAAGCCATGCTTGCACTGGCAACTGTGGCTGTAAGTTTTTTGCTGCTTCTGTAAGACTTAATCACTTCTCATTTGCAGGCTGAGTGCACACTTATTTTGGCTTGGGACAATCTTATACTACTGGACGACACTTCAGACAATGACAAGAAACTGCACAAGATCATATTGATGCTTAATCAAGCCACGAACAAGATGAGCAATACTGGTACTGCATTTTTGTCAGGCAACTGGGAGACAGACACCATTGCTTACATGGAATGAATTGATGAACTATCCCTTGGATGCATCCTGGAGATTGTTGCACAATCCCAACCATTCCTAAAGCACGCACACCGCAGGGGTCAGGACAACAGTGCCGATGGTGACACTCAAGCTCCCATGAATCCATGCTCACGTATCCACATCTGTAATGTTTTTCTGTCTCTTAGTACTTTTCTCAATCTGACACTGATATCCTACTACAGAACTCATATGTCCACCTCCCTACCTTCAGTCTCATCTATTTGCACAGCTGCCACTCACACTATTATGCATTTTTCGATGTTTTTTGGACCTGCTGCCTTAATATCATCTGCTCCTTTTTGTCCTTTGACTCGTCAACCTCCTTATTTCCCCTTAGCCTACTTTTTTGTATCTCGCTCCATGTCTCAAATAATAGTGCCTTTTTTGATCTAACCGCCTTGAGAATCATGACCTCCTTATTTTCCTTATTTTAAGTGTGAGCAAGTTTCTTGAAATTGTCTTATTATGCAGATTAAGGCATACAAGGAAACATTAAGGGATGAAAAGGAACCTGGGGATTTGCTGATGTTTGGTCTTTGAGTGGGAGATAAAAGAGGGAATGATATTTGTTGGGGGTAGCAATAGTGAATATCTAGAACGCGATGACTCAGAAAGAGAATTCTAAGGAGGCCGCATCAACAAATCTTCATGAGTTGAATCGAGAAGCTAGATGATTTGGTTATTTGTGTGGGATGGGCTGGTGTTGCTTGACTGAGACTATAAAGCTCAGTACGAAACACAAGTCAACGTGTACTGTCAAGATACGCACCTAGGTTCATCACACCATCACACACCTGGCGAATCGAACCTATTTTTCATGACGGTCACACCAATTTTGAGGCCATTGAACCTAAATTGTGACAAGTGGTAAAAACGCAAAAAAAAACATCTAATGCATCCAAAAGTCTTTGTACTGAGTGTTCGCAACACATCTGTGCTTGCCACGGCCCTGTCAGGCATGGTGTGGAAAACTTGGATGGGAAATGTTTCAGACCATGTCCATCTCGTGGACTGAGCTATGGCTCACTCGCCAAACATTGGAGGATCCACACTGACAAGACTTTACCATAACATAGCGAGAAGACATTGCCATGTTGCCAGATGGAAGTCAAATTAGAGACAAAGCTCTTGAGGTGAGCATCTCCAGCTGCAGGTCATGAGGATCACCACAGCCCCTTAGCGCTGCATGTATACAAGGGAATGTGTCTACCCCAACATTGGTCGTCGAACCTAAGTGCAGTGTGTCACGCGTCACACCCCCCTGCGAACCTTCGAACCTAACGCTCATTTGGTCACACCCAGATTGGGTCGAACCTAGGTGCGTATCTCGACAGTATCGGGAGGAGAAAATATCGGAAACAGACGTTGGGTCTGAAGGAGAAGTAATATAAGCACTTAGATGTGAGCAATAAAATATTAATGGGAGGTGGGCGGGTGGACTACCAAGTATTGTAGGGCGCCGGGGGAGCGCACAGACCAATTAATGTCATGCCATTCTCAAGCACGAGAATGTGAATCTCCACAACGACGCTTACAAAGGCCCTTGTGAGCCTCAGCTGGTTCAAGCGCTCATGCACATGATCTGCTCGGAACGTACGCCTGCTCTATTCAGTGGGCTTTGTGCTTCGCGTATAAGTTCTTTTCAGTTCTAACACAACATTATCAAGTTTCCCATTTACAAGCCTGGCGCCCGCTGGCACACATTCTGTCACAACTACATATAACTGTAGCCATACAATACTTTCTACAACACCCCATCGCCTGGCTCCTCGCTTTCACTCGACGATATATCACCAGCGAATCCCATCGTGAAAGATGCGAGTGATACAGGTCAGATGTACGCGAAATCCTAATATGTATTAGAGTTTCAGCTCATCGACGAACTCAATATTGAATTTGGCCGAGTTTCTAGATGTATGCAGACATTCAGAAGCAGCTCACATCAAGAACGCCTCTCATTAAGTCGAGGAGATCTCGTGTTCTGAAGTGCAATGCGGTGAGCTGATCCTTCAGGAGGACCATGGCAAGCACAAAGGCGCCTCCGTGTACGGCTCGATGCAGTGCGACCGGTGTGGTATAACTACTACATCAGGTATTGCGATCTCAGCGTATGTATATGCATGACGACTCGTCCCCAACCTTCTGACTAAGCGTTGGCAAACCCACATCTCATAGTGTTCTTCCAAGCTCGCGACCTGCAGTTTCTACTTTGAACAATCCCAAGGTCATGATCGCAGTCCCAAGCACGCTGTGTAATATCTAAACTACGAAATTCCATATACGCACCTTGACAATGGTTGTTCTTGGTTCGATCCCTGGTGTCAACTCTTTCCCGCCTATACGTAGACATCCAGACGTTTCTTACCAGCAGCACCGAACGCTGTCGCCCAGACGGTGCGAACAAACATTTAAACATTCAATGCTCTCGGTCCACGGTTCCGATAACATATCCAAACCTTCTTCGCTTCTTTATCAAACTCAAATAAATGAACTCCTCTAGACCCCACAGGTTGCAAAAAAATCGTCGTGCTTCACCCTATTCTGCTCCCACCGCAGGTGGGATTACAGATCCATACATGTCTCAAAGTACGTCAACACCCATCGCACCACTAGATTTCGGCACCTCCTCATCGGCTCTTGTTCATCTCGCAGCCATCGTATTGCGTCAGTCAACTCTTTAGCACGGCAAAATGCTATCACGCTCACAAACGAGTCCACGCGTTCAATGAGGAACCCGACTCCGAAATACACCGTTCACTACATACGATTGCATGTGCGTTGTTATATCATCGAGGTATGAGCTGCAACATCATGATGTCACGGTACACACCTCAATGACAGGGAGCCAGGCAGAGTTATGTTGTTATACTCCTACTATTCCGATTCTTGTTATGCGGTATCTTCTGATAGTGTTCTTGGCTACAGCTGCCCATCTGATTAATATGGAGCACAGGCGACGCGGTGAGATCAAATACCAAGCCAACGAGTATAACTAACGAAAATTCTGTACGTGCGTGTCACGTCCGCTGTTTGTGCGGTTTGTCTACTGTTCTATTGGGACAAATAGCTGCACGTGCACTTTCGGGCATCCACATGGATTACCTACAACGTGAATCGCTCATCATCTTTTGTTACACAGACGAGCTGAGTTGCAGGTGTCGTAAACCAACCCCGATGTGATATGATTCGGTGGCAGTGAGTGGTATAATTGAGTTGCCAGTTTTCTGCTGTGCCACGACCCCGATTGCCACTAAAGGTGTGAGACAATGGATATGTAAGTTGACGCGCGCCGAGAGGATGGCGCCCAAATCAACCCACAGCTTGTCCTGCATAGTACGTATATGGGTGTCTCGCATGTAGTATCCGCCAACAAGTGGAGCAAACCGCCGCCGCTGAGATTTCAACATCTTGACCCGCACACATTGCCCAGTGCTCTTCTGTGATTAGATGCTGAATTTCAAATTCACCCTTGTGGGCAAGCTCAGTGCCCGTGGTTGGTGTTGTGGGCAGAACTCTGCTATTCCGCCATGTGGCAGGGCAGAATTGGCACTGCCAAGCATTGGCCAGGCAGATGGCAGAACCTCCTAGGCAGAATGTGGCAGAACCCAACCCGGAGATGTACTGCAGGCTCTCTACCAGTGAATGTCTAAGTCTGGATGCCATCCTCTCAATTCACTTGTCGGAAGTAGGTTCATAAAGGGGGATCCTACTACTACTTCTGCCAAGTCCAACAGATATTTGTCGAACTGCAACTACTATTATGCCCGCATCAACGGAAACTCGGCAAGGTCCGTGCTTCGCTATCATGATGGGAGCATCAATGCATCACTGATATCTGACATCACGACGACTTCCCGGGAAGGTTGCCAGGCAACTCAAGACTAATTTCACAATTGTCCCGCCACTTGCAAGTTGCAACAGTCAGCTGCGATCTTGAAGGTCCAGAATCTATCTCGCTTGACGACATCAATGCTGAGTTCGCTCGATTAGAAGCCATTTGTAATAGGGAACGAATGATATACGCAGAATTTGCCTTGGACTGGGATGTGAATGGGACAGAAGTACTGGAATGGAGAGCATTCGACTTTGCGAAACTGCTGTGTGTTGACGAGGGACCGATATCTGATGCCGGTATGCGGCAGTAGTAGGCGAGACGATAGTCACTGGCACGGACCACAGTGCAAGGACTTGGACTCGGTCTCACATTAATAATGTAGCACACTTGAGCTTGAAGCTTGAAGCTTGAAGCTTGAAAGTGGCGTCAAAATTGTACGTCAATTCCGCCACCTGCCACACTGGCAGAATATGGTTCTGCCAGGTCCTTCCCACACAGCATTACCTGTAGTGCTCCCTGCGTGGAGAGATTCGGTGCCACCATCAGTTTTTCGATGCAGATATCAACGGGACCTTGTTCTGACTGAATATTGATCACCTGTGCAATTTGTTTTAATCTTGCACATCGGATTCAAATTCAAATCGTGTAAGCATATAAGATCTTAGGAGCGAGTTTTGGAGCCTTATCTAGTACAAGCGTGCAATGGTCGCGCCTACAGTCAATACGGGAATCCAGACGGCAAAGGTAAGAATTTCCGAGTGTATTTGCCAGATGAGTTTTATTGACTGTAACTACACTAGTATTGCAATGGTACGTGGACTTCACACAGGGGTTTACACTATTTTCATCTAGAATATGGGCAGTCGGTGGTCTAGGAGTTTTGGTAGGTCTAGTCACCAAACCATGGACAACATCCCCTCTTATACATTGTAGATTTTCGATTATTTCTTAACGCTCGAACCTGAAGTGAGTATTCCTGATCGAGTTCGAACATCTCTTGACAAATGTTGCGAGGTTCAATGGACATGGAACACGCGCTGGAACGTCAGTCGTGTTCTTTTCGTAATTTCGCGCTACATGGCCTTTGTAGCAGCTGGCATGACTTCATATGGTGAGCAGCTACCGTACTACTATCTCATGGTACGTAACATTGACGAATGACTAGCTGCCATTGCTACACGAGCGAACGAAAATGTTGGTGTGTTTTGTTTATGTGGTTGTTGTATGAACTGAAGGACATCGAATACAGTGCTCACGCTTCAGCTCGGCTTCAAATGGTGATCAATATCCCGAACAGTCAGCGTCTTGTCACTGATTCTTACTGCAGCAATTCACATCATTAGCATTGTAGCTGCTGAAGGTTCGCTCCATATCTGCAGTGTCTTCTGAGCCTGAAATCTATCATTTCTTGTATAGGTCTTTTGGTTGTTCGTACATATGCATTCTGGAAACAGAACAAAAAGCTCTTGGCAGTGTTACTGGTCTCAGCAGTAGTACGTTGGTCTTGTTATGCGTGCTCATATTCATCGTCTGTTGACATCGCAACGTAGATTTCCATTGCGTGTGCTGTCAGTATCACAGATGTTGTCAGTAATCTATTAGTGGCGCCTGTGGACCCTTCAGGTGAGTCCCCTTTATTCTTTTTTCATTGTTGTAGACGGCAACCTTGGTTTTAAAGCTCCCCCCACAAGTAACTGCACTTTTGAAGGGGGTCGCAGCAGTGCCATTCAGTACGGCTTTCTTGTAGCCTTCGAACTATGTAAGGATATCTCGTTTCCGTCCTATTTTAGCACTGATTTTTCAATCCCATCTACAGTACTGATGTCTTTAACGGTGTTCAAGAGATATCAAGACTACAGGGATTACAATAGTCGTATAGTGAGAGCCGTCTTCCAGGGCGGAGTACGATATATGACTGCTATAATTTGTGCGGTGACCTTTTGTTCAATTTAACATGTCCCATGCTGAAGCCCTTCTTCTAGTTGTTTCTGTGGCCAATATATTAATTACGTCTGTGGTGCCGGTAGGTTGCATGGTGTATCTACTCATTTGACAATTTTTACTAATGTGGGGAAGGCATCATATGACGAGATGATGGACTTGTGCGTAGCAATTCGTTTAGGATGATCTGATCAAAAAACTGATACATCATGACAGGCCACAACTTGTCCTCCATAGTATGTTGGCATCCCGTGTGCTCTTTAGTCTGCACGAAAGTAACCAGGAAACGGACCAGACAACATTGCAGATGTCGACATTTTGTCCAATCTAGTCCAATCAAAAACATACCTCACTTAGACTTGATTAATCATCCTACAATCACAGTATACCACGTCGGAATGTATAAGTAGCCTAGCATAAAGATCTCGCCTATCAAGGGCCACCAAACTGGAGGAGACTGTCACGAAGCACGATCATCTGCTGCTCCATCTGATTTCCTTGCTCTGTATCTTCATTGTTCTCCTCTAGATTGCTCTTCACCTCTTCCAGTGAAATCGTTTTTGGGTCCGCCTTTGTCCAGTGCCTCTGACGGGACAGAAGCAGCCCCTGCCGTTCTCGCAAGAGACGCTCAAGATCACCCAACGTCACCCAACCATGCCGGGTGTTATGCAACCATATAGACCCTGCAAGTGAGACACTTTGCAAAGAGGGACATGACGTGTGCCACCTTGACGCGAGGGTGGCCGTGAAAGTTTTGTCATGTAGTGCATCAACTTTATTTCGCGACATCAGTGTCAGCGATTTGAGGCATTCAAAGCAAGAGAGGAATTCGGGAAAGGCCTCAAGAAGCTCCTGTAGTTGCTTTGAGCAAATGTTGGATGTTGGTAAAAGACGGCGCACCTGCGAGACCACTCCATCGCTCGAGTAGAAGGCAAACGAATTCAGTCTGGGCAAATTCTTTGCGATTGCTTCAAGGCTGCGAGTGCACTCGGTGTGTCGCTGAGGCGGGTAATGAGCTGCAGTGCGGTCAATGGACCGGTAGAATAGGAAAGGATGTTCGATGCAGTATTAAGGATGTCGTCTTTGAAAAGCGCAGTGCTGCAGCAAACAGAGCTCCACTTCCTTGATTTTTCGATTCGGAACCACTGCGGCCAGTACCAAAGGGGACGCAGGAGACTCTTGTAAGCTTTGTGAGAGTGTCAGCTAGGTAGAACCACATCATTCACGAATTTTCCGCCAAACATGGCATTGCGCAGTTCCGTCTGCTCTGTAATTAATTTGATGAAGTCCTTGTCCCAATCGAGTGTTGTAGTGAGAGAACGAAGTCGAAATGAACACCCATGCAAATATCTTGCGTAGGGGCCGTCGAGAAGAATTGTAAGATCCGTAAGCGAAGAAGCGTTTAGCAATGCGCTACGCAGCAGGTTGAAGTAATTGGAGAATACGTCATAATGTCGAGTAGCATCAGCCAAGATCAGAGTACGAGCACAGGAAGCAAGATGCGGGTACGATGCAAAACATTTGAGGCATGGTATAATCATGTCTTCGGTAGGTTGGACGTTCCTGTAAATCACGCGCTGGGAAATGGATCGGAAAGCGGGGCATACGATTGCGGTGTTCACCAGGTCTGCATTCCCCAGGTATTTAAGTATGTGATGTATGAGTTCGGAAGGGATAGAAAGAACTATGGTACCTATGTCAGAAAATAGTCAAACAGATTTGGATCTGCTAGACGTACCACCGAGTGTACCAGGTCTATCCTGAGATTGATCGGCGCGAGTCTCAGAGCGGTCCACGCCGGATTTCCTCTCCAAGGAAGAGACTGTTTCTGGGTACGCTGCATCATGCATGAAAGATAGCGTGCTTTGCATGCTTGGGCTAGTGATATCTGTATTAATGAAGGAATAATCCATGCAAGAAATTCAAACGCAGTCCAGACAATCGATGGCAATGATTAATGTCCATATCAGGACGTATTGGTAGCTAACGTGAACCTTTACCATCACGATGAACTTCAGGCCGTAATATTCATTCCAATTCAAACAATTATAATAACGTTTGCGGCATATGGCTACCTCTCCACGACGCTCCAGAAGGCGCTTCTCCTCCGCATCTATTGGTGCGACATGGAATGCGCAGTGGAATGCGCAGCTTTCGCCACTTTCCACACCAGTTTCGCGCGGTCGCCGCAGAAGGTCCTCATCCATCGACTTTGATGATGATGTTGTTCGCAGTTCAGACGTAAAAGAAGAGAAAACGAGACATACACCACTCGGTGACCACGGCCTTGGATGCGAGAGAATGCTTGAACCCGAACTCGAAGTCCATCCATTGACATATGCATCACTTCCTCCAACTCCCATACTGCCGTCTCCGCCTGCCTCTCCGCCTCCAATGGCCCGGGGTCAAGATCTGCAGCAAGACCAGCCTTTATTTTCTTTGTGGGACTACCTACGGGAAGAGCTCCTTGCGACTGACTTTGACTCGCACCAGGAGTTGAAGTGGGAGAGGGTGGGCAATTTTCTGAGTATTCCTCTGGCAATGGAAAAGGTGCGTATATATTCATGTGAGTGACATGATGGTGCTCATAAGGCGTAGATCATTGGCTTTGGCTTCATACTTTGTTTAGACTCGTTCCTCTATACTTTTACTATACTACCCATCAGGTTCGCACTGGCGACCATCCGATTTTTTCTGAATTTCTTCAAAGTCTCCAAATTGCCTCTCCCGCCATCACAGAAAGCTGACATTCTTCGAATGATGCTGCTTGTGGTCTCTATCATGGTGTTGATTCCGCTCACGGATGCCAGTAAGATCTATCACTCCATACGCGGACAAGACACTATCAAATTATACGTAATATTCAACGCGTTAGAGGTGCGTCTGTTTATACATCGATTCAATCGTTCCACATAACTAAACTTCCTCCGTCTTAGATTGCTGACCGTTTGTGCGCATCGATAGGGCAGGATATCCTTGACTGTCTATTTTCCCGCTCGACACTCGAGGTACTTTCTCATCGTGTGCCAGTCACGTCCAACACGCTTCGTCCATTCGTATTTTTTGGGCTAGCTACTCTCTACATTGGTTTGTCTCTGTCAATATTCCTTTATATCGCGTCATTAACATTGCTTTAGTTTGCCACGCATTAGTGATGATTTACCAGCTGCTATCTCTTAATGTGGCTGTCAATTCCTATGACCACGCACTCCTGACTCTTCTCGTCTCGAATCAGTTCGTCGAAATCAAAGGAAGTGTCTTCAAGAAATTTGAAAAGGACAACCTCTTCCAAATCACATGCGCGGATATCGTGGAACGGTTTACGCTCTCACTCATGCTTCTCATTGTTGCATTCCGCAATTTAATCGAGCTGAGTGGATCTGAGTTCGATTTCACAGGTGGATTTGTCCTCCCGATGAGCTTTGGCTGGTTCATAGGCAACAATGTCCTATGGACAATATCCTACGTAGGTTATTGAGACACCGCGTCCAGACCCGCTTACGAAGCTCGATCAGCCTGTTGTGACAGTGATGGCATCTGAGATCCTCGTGGACTGGCTGAAACATGCATTCATCTCTAAGTTTAATCACATACGGCCATCTGTATATGAGCGATACACAGATGTGCTCTGTCGTGATTTGGCTAGTGGAAGTGCTATAGGACGGCTGGGTGCTCGAAAGGTCTAGCAGTTTAGCTTTGACTCGTATTTGCCTTCACTGACCGAATGCAGCATAGCTATGTTGATCAGTCACCATTAGTAGCCCGGCGACTTGGCTTTGCCTCCCTTCCACTTGCAGTTGTCATTATTCTAGTTGGCCTTCAGTCACTAACTCTCGTCTTTTCTCTTCGCTTTGAAGATGAATGGGGTTGGGATGCTCTCATGGATATGTCGAATGCCGAAGTCGTACATCTACTGAAGTGGGCCGTGATGGGGGTGGCATTTTGGTTATGGTAGGGTTTCTATTGTTGTCATAGTTTCGCGAAAGCTTACTCCTCTGTCTAGTTTTCTTGCTTTAAAAGTTCTTCTCGGTGTGAATCTCATCTCATATGCGACGCGTCGTCGAGCAGGCATGGAGGCCCGTGCTGCTGCGGACATCATCAACGACTTTGGGCGAGATCCTATAGGGGAAGGTAAGGAAGAGCGCGAGTACAATAAACAGCTCAAGAAGATGGTGGATGATTGGAGAGACGACGCCGTACGAGTAGGTGAGATGGGTGAGGGGCGCATGCGTGGCGGTAATGGACAAGGCGGTGGTGGTGACAAGAAGCGGGTACCCCTTGAAGAGTTGACTCGATTTACAATGGTGAAGCGTATCTGGTAATAGAAGCTTGCGGCGGTGAATGATAAGAATGCTTTTTTGACGTTCCTGCCGGATGTGATAAAATCGACTGCACTTAAAAATCGCTGCCTAAGTAGAAGTGCGTACATAATCTGCTGTGCGTTAAGCTCCCTCAAATAGCAATTTTTTTTTGTTTCATAAATCATAAACCATATGCATAGGAACATATACGACATACATGAGCAAGTAGGATAACGTCAAGACTCTTTCTGCATAAACTACCACCGTCTTCATAAAATCACCGATGTACAACCTGCCGAGACCAACCACTGCCAGTCTCCGGGATAATACCTATTAGGTCGACCGTGTCAATGATGCGGCGGTAAGGGCCACCCACGCGTGCGTCGAGGGGACGACCTTGGGCAACAGCCATCTCTACGTACTCCCTAAATGTCTTCTGGAAGTAGCGCGGATCGACCATGTCAAAACGAATGGGGCGCAAGTACTCTGGGGTACGTTCACTGCAAAGAGGCGCTATAGGATATTGATTGATCATTCTACGAATGACGTTCGGATCCCGCTCCTCCAAAAATTCACGGTAGTCCCTGTGAGGACGGGAGGATGTCTATGGTCTGGTGCTGCAGGACTGACATGGCAACATGTGATGGAACGTGATGAACGTTTACACGCGAGCTGTGCGCAGAGTGCGAGATTATTGGACGTGGAGAGTGGGTGATAGGAGCAGGGGGAGCAGGGGTGTACGAGCGACTAGTGTTCGACTTGGCGCGAAGACGTTCTGCTAGTCTGCCACTGCGAATATGGTCGTCAGGGATCTGCAGTACATCTACAGAAGCTTGATCAACAGAGGCCTTCATGCCTCTGTTTTCTGCGATGAATGGAGGGGTAGGCTTGCTGACCACTTGTACTCGGATTATGGACAGGTACTTGGGGCCTGATACTCTGAGAGTTCAAAGAAATCGCTCTGAAGCCGCTGCGAGGGAGCCCCTCAACTGGTTCAGGTGAATGAGGAAACTTGGTCAACAAGTCCTCGCGCTTGTCAGGGGTCACGCGAGTTGGCTCATGGTAATAGGTGTGTTGCGACAGCTTGCCGTGATAGACCTCGAGCATCCCTGGAGCTTGCTCGATGTACACGATGTCAGATTTCTTAAGGGGGGTCTTTCCACGGTACACAGGTTTGGGAAAATAAGAACGATGTTCGCGCGTCCCCCCTTCTGAGGAAAGGAGGTAGGGCATTGATTTGGTGTGCTTAAGCGATGCCGTTTGGTCATCGTTGGATCTGAGGGGTATTGATTACCACAATGACAATGAGTAGAGCACGAAAACGGTCGACTCACTTTTGGAAAATTTTCTTGAACGAATTCATGATGATATGGGGGAAGGGGACGTAAAGTTGCAAAGAATATGAGATGGTGGTCTGTCTAGCGGTGGGCAATCTGCATTTCAATATATATAGGTCGTGCTACTGTGGACACACCACATCATCCACATCCACATCCACAAAGCAATTCTTCAAAAATCTGAAAACGATACAAGTGTGGATGCTCTAGCGAATACTTTGATTACCCACCTAGAATCACATCAATGCCATTGATGTCACCCCATTTATAGCACAAAGGCAGAAAATGCAACAACTGACCAATTGTCGGGCAGTTGCCACAGACCAGCCCAATAAATCCATCGCGCGTCTTGCTCATTATTATTATTTATTTCTCGAGAGCTCATGGCATGTGCTCAGAAATTACTGGCAATGACGATCAGCACGCTGATTCGGATGTATGGGACGCCGGAATATGGTACGTCGTGTGCAGAGACGCTGAAAAGAACAGCTAGGTTCCTCCTTTAATTGTCTCATTTGACAAGACCACTTAGCGTACCTTTAAAGCGCACTGCACCCGACCGACTATAGTTTAGTCAAAGCTGCTCAACATCGATAAAGACATATGGAGTGCATTCGTGCTGGCATCTCAAGCAACCTGAAGGTGATGTAAATAGTCAAGAAAGTATTGATTCCAAGGGAATTACGCACGCGGTTGGCCTCCGATACACGTGGAGGATAGACTCGGGGGTCGATCATAGCCCTGAATAATGCTTATATTGTTGAACTCTAGAAATGTCGAGATACTCTAGCCCGCTTCAAGACACGGAGGACCGTTAACTCCTGTTACCTGTTCATGGTCAAATCCGCGCCTCAGACATACTTACTCTGACAGTGCAAGCCGCATACAATCTGTACGCCTGTACAGCATCATGCGCGAATAGCCCTGACAGGAGATATGACCGCATTCCAGAGCTGTGGCAACACAGAAGGACATAATCAAAGTGGCTTTGACTTCATGAAAAGAAATCGGAAACTTTACAGGTTACCGCTTGTAGCCTACAATGCGCAGGTCGGCAAAGCAGGTCAGTAAGGGCTTGAGATTAATATTGAGGCCTGAGACCCGAGGGGCTGTGAGGCTAAATACTTGAATGACAATGTCAAATATTGGCGTACGCAGTCCCCGACCCCACGAGCGGTGAGGGTTCTGTTAGATCCAGGCACCTGTATTTTCGTATGCGCGTGAACCGATTTCCTTTTCTGTTAAGGTTCAGGCCTACCCAGTTCAACCGTTGGAGCTGTTCGCCTTGTGTGTCGTCCGCTCGCGTTATCATTGAGTGATACTTGCTTTCCAGGTTGTATGCCTTCCGAGTGTTGTTCTGACTGATGCTCTACAGACCATGGGATGCCGCTAGCGGCTCTTGTTTCACGTTGGACATTTCATATTTTGTTTGAGGTACGTCGCAGCAACGGAAACCACGATACCTGACTGACGATATAACTACAGCTGCGCGAGTGGAGCGGGCACGGCCTGCAAGGGAAAGCCCAAGAGCCAAGGCCAAACCGCTATAGCGGGAGGCTGCGGCTCTATCTATCGCGGACCGACTACAGCATAGCACAGGACTACTGACTACCCCCAGCAAAAAAAGCATATTATATGGAGAGTACACACGCATATTATACTTGGCCAAAGAAACAGGAGTATTAAACCAGGGTGAGGATAGAACCATCTGGCCACTACATTGTCGACATCCATGAGGCCAAGAAAACCTGAACTGTGCAAACTCGGATTGAGCATAGAACCAGCTGCGCAACTCTGCGCAATGCAGTCATGGTGTAACATACATGAACACTCAATATTTGAATTGGAGTTGGGGATTGGAATTCTGGAATAATGACGGCCGCTATAAGCCTAGTCTAGCTCGCCATGTCAGTTGCCTCCAATTGCTGTGCAATTTTGATCACGTGCACGACGAATCATTGCTTTCTGGTATGGAGGATGACATCATACACCCCGTTTGCACTAACAGTGAACGTCATGGATGTGCGGAGCTTGACCCGCAGTACACAGCCAAAGTCCCTTAAGCTGGACTTGAAAGCTGATAAAGGTCGCTTCTTGGTCGCTTCCCCGCACACATAACAAAGGTCCATTCATCCTCCCTCCGTTAGACGATCAAAATGGCAGCATCAGCCGCGCTCCCTGGTCTCTTTTTCTGCCTTGCGGCAATGATACTCCTCATTCTTGTACGTTCCATCTAATCTTATCATCATTGCCACGTTTTTTATAGTGTTTGTCATCGACAGGTTTCTGTGTCATCACCAACGTTGAACAGCATATCCTTTCTTAATGCCGACCAATATTCCTTTGGTGTATTCGGTTATACGGGCTCAAAGGTTCAAGTTGGTTACTACTTCCCCCTCCCGGGAGACGTCAACACAGCAATCCTTCACAATCTTACCTTCGTTCTCATACTTTACCCAATCGCCGCTGGTCTTTCCGGTCTTGCATTCCTATTCGGAGTGTGTGGGGCTGGATATCATCGTGTGGGCACCGTCTTTATGAGTTTCCTCGCTGGACTCGCGACACTGTGCACTTTGATTGCATGGATCATTAGCATGTCTTTATTCGGTGTCGTCAGAGATCGTCTGAGAAGCAATGGCATCGATGCGAATTGGGGAAATGCGAACTGGCTTGCGCTTGGCGCGCTGGTTGCGCTGCTTCTAGGCTCCTGTACTGCAGCCTGTGGAGTATTTGGGCACTATAGGCGTTCGAGGAACTAGTTCACAAGCATGATATCCCGGGGGTAAGGGACCGAGATGAAAGGATGATGAAGTTCTCTTCGATTTCACATGGATGTGCTTACTACTTACTATTCGGATGGACTTACTCGTTATGTTTATTCAACTCTGTACTTATAATACCCGAATTGTAGTTTACCCTCCAACGATGATCAATGTAGTCAAGATGTTACCTCTACTTTAAGTCGCATGGATCACGTGAGATTTGTGATTTCCACATATCATATTATGCAGCTGTTACACGATGAGGTATACAGCTTACAAGATCGTCTACAATGCACATGTGTAATGCATATCACTTCCTATGCATCATCTTCGAGAACCAGCACGGATTTTCCGATATTATTTCCAACCAGTAAATCAACAAGTGCCTCACCGACCCTGTCCATACCATGATACACATGTTCCAGATATTTCAATTTTCCAGCAGCCAAATCTCGTGGAACAGTATCGTGGAATTCGTCCAGATACTTATCTGCCCAGTCGATCACGACCAAACCCTGCATCCTGCGTTATGAATGAAAATTGAGAAACATGGGCAAGGAGTACATTCATAAGACCAGCTTACTTTGCTCGGTATCTATTCAGTAACCACAGGTTCTATTTTCGCTGTTAGGAGTTAAAAGTCTCCAAGAGGAAATGTGCTCACTCGAATACCATACGCCTCGTTCGTGCCCAAGTTGTATTGACTGATCATCCCGCAGATGACGAGTCTGGCATTGCAGGCTAGATTATTTATGGCAGCTTCGAGGGTCGGACCACCAACAAGGTCAAAGTAAATGTCAATCGGGCCATGTGCCTTGAGCTCTGCAGCGGTATCCGCAGTTTTGTAGTTGAAGACATGATCTGCGCCGAGTGATTTCACTAATGAGACCTTCTGGTCACTACCACAAGATGCGATGACTTTCAGCCCTTGGGCCTTGGCAAGCTGAACTACGAGACTATGAAATATCTAAACAAAACAACAACAGAGGGTAGGATGACACGTACTGGCCTACGGCACCACACGCTGCAGATATATAGAGCGTTTCACCCGGCTTGGGGTTGCTAATGTCCTTGAGTCCATAATATGCTGTTTGCCCACTCATTCCAAGGATTCCAACATAATATCGCCATGGGAGGTTGTACTTGTTGTCGAGGACTTGTAGGCTCAAACCCTTCATCCCTAGAGCGTTGGCATCTATTGACGGGATGACGCTGTAGCGTTGATAGTCTACGATAATATAATCAATAATATGTACCGCCAGCCTTACCAGCAGTATACGCACGCATGAATCCATATACATATTGTCCGGCTTGAATCAAGGGCGTCTCACTTCGCAAGACCACAGCGACGCTAAAACCAGTAATTCTGTAAAACCGTCAGTGCCTGTTGAATTCTAATATTTTCAAGTTAGCTTACGTTTCGCCAAGGGGAAATGCATCGATGTCTCCTTGAATATCAACGGGTCGCATGCGATTGCGCATATAGGGGTCAAGACTGAAGGCAAGTGCCTTGACGAGGATACCTCCTTCAAGTGGTACATTATCAAGATCAATAGATAGTGTATTGTCGACGATCAGACTTGTTTTAGGATTTGGCAAACCATGAGGCATTTCGTTGAAAATAATACGCTGATTGGTTGTCATGATGGTACGAGGGGATAGAGGGGAGTTCTGGTTGCTATAAATCTTTCAGCGACTGTTATAAAGTGTCTCGCTTCGAGGCAGGGTAAATGGATGTCTGTGAGGGTGTCAGTGCATTAGCAAAGATGGGTTGAAGTTGAAAATAAAATAAAATGAAAAATAGTCGACTTTGAAACAAAAATCATACACGATATAAATCAATTCCTTTTTTTTTCGCATGGAGTCAGGGATATCTGCATTTGCATAAACCGTATATGTGGACGTAAACATCAAAGAGAATGTTTGTGTCAATATTTGCGTGCTGGCCCAAAGATTCGATGCCACGCGTTGTCGCCGAGACCAGACAAGTACGACAGAGAATCGTTATTTTATCAGGGCAGAAGAAGGATGAGTTAGTTCTGAGTCATAGCCTTTCACGTCCAACAAAGATTATTTCGTTACCTCGAGATAGGTGAGCGACCATACCGTAGAAATACCGCCTTTCATAGCAACATAATTCAGAAATTTTGCGTCAATAAAACGACAAGGACATTCGTTCAGAGGCCATCGGAAAGTGCGGACGAGGGAGCAAAAGCAAGTGGCACCTAGTCGAAAAAAATGATTTTCAAAGCTGAAGTGTCTCAATCACTGAGACCAGGAGGTCGGATAAAAGTACGGATGTTCGCGGATATGAATGCGTCACTAACAGGATGTAGCAGATCCATTTGCCTGGCCAGCTTCCCTTTTTTTGATTGCATTGGAATTCTTTGCAAAGTGGCCATTCACAAAGAAAGTTGCCCAGCACCTGTTTACTGGCCAAGCAGAGGTTGCGGGCCGGGAATAAGCCAAAGCTATGCACTGTCGTGAGGGCCAGTCTTGGGGCCTTGAGGGTTGAATTGCTGTGGGAATGCCACTGAGCTAGGGGTTTGTGTGCCACATCAGGTGAGAAATTGCAGTATGTCGTTGAGTCAAAACCACTAACCTGAGGTATCAAAGTATCGGGAAGATCCGAGCTCCCGCATGGGGCCTCTACGTAGAGGTATTAGACAAGATTGTAAACAAGACTTCCTGAATATTGAATATTGACTCCTAGGCCTCTTCGATGATCCGTGACCCGTCACCATCCTGGATTTGATAATTGTTAGATTCTTGTCCGAATACTCTGGGAAGAACTTAACGCTGCCTAGCCGAACATTCATCCTAACTGCTCTCGATACCATTTGGTACAACGTCATCCACGTCCAGTTACCAGTACTGCTTTGCTGACAGTGGCTGAGATTTTCCGCCAAGCTATCATTGTGTAACTCCGTCCGGAGAGAGCCGCAATTTCCAATTCTTCTAATATTCTTCATCCCAAATTTGGCAGGTGTATACGTTCACTGCATTTTGGCCTCGTTGAAGCAGGCCTTTGAGACTCGCGACATCCACATGCTGCGCAGCTTCAAGTATGTATATTCAAGCTGGATGGGCTGCCTTTTCTCTTGAATGCGTAGATTCCGAATGGCTATCCTTTCTGCCATCCTTCTTTTCGGCCTGTTTGTGACCTCTACTTTCTTCCAAAGCTCGCCCCGTCGCCCGAGTCTGCAATGGGTGATGTCAAGCGACAATCCATTCCCGTCACCAGTTGGTGGTGTTCCAATGCCTTCTGACTTTGGGACATCGATTCTTTTCTCCTTGCTATATTTCTCGCTCATACCCATCTTCGTTTCCCGGCTATATAACAAGCATTCGCGGGTCGTCGTGAGCATTAACGCAATCGTTACAACCATAGAAAGGTGAAAACAGCACCCTCCTGTAGTAACGCGCGTTGCCTCATGTCACCTCCCTAGAGTCATAATCTTCTCCCTACGAGCCTGGCAGTCCCGCAACCCAGCAGAAAGGACATCCCCGGCATTGACGACTTACATGCAAGTTTCGATTGCTTTGCCATACATTTCCATGGCATACGACGTCGTGGTTCTTCTGCGCTGCATGTATGTGAACTCTACCAAGGGTCCGGCAGCTTTTACAGATCCGCAAGATTCACCTATCGCTCCTTCGATGTCGTCCTCTATGCATCCTCTTTCCCCGTTTCATAGTGCTTCGCTTCATCTTTCGGACGATATACACGATGACCCAAAAAAGCGGTTTTTCTATCGCTGGTTTACCGATGTGCTGAAGCTGGCCTTCCTCGCTGCTACTATCCCGGGTATAATTGGTAACGCGCACTACCGTGGTGGAATGGATAATGCAAGTACAGCTAACGAGGTGATGATCACCAGGTGCATTATATCTTCACCCGCACAGCTTCATCTTACATAAACATCTTTGCTCAGATACCTAAGCTCCGGTGTTGCTCTCTTCCTCATACTTTTTGTGGCGACCTTGGTTGTTCGCGCCAGAAATCTACCCAAAGTGAAGTCGATTCACGTCACTCTACTCCTTGCCATCCTCGCTTGCAACGTAAGGATCCGTGTTCTCTGTTTTGTTCGTTTACATAATAATACATTTTCCTCAATGCATAGGCATCCTCTGCGATCTTCCGATTGTCGTTCATGTATCACCGCACGACCTCCCTTACATCAACAGCACCAGGCTCGGGTAACACTTTTCTAGAAAAGGGAACGTTCTATATATTCCATATGTTCAGTGACTGGCTGGCCGTCGCTCTGCTGCTCGTTCCGAATATCAGAGCCATCTTTAAGACGGGCATGTGGGGGGACTGGAGAGCTGTTGATTCTCTCCCTCAAGAACAGGAACGGGCAAGAAAAAGGAAGGAAGCCAAAGCACGAAGGAGTGGGCTTATCGCTTGATGCGCAGACTGCACATGGAAGGACGTAGCACCCTGTTTATTAAATGACACTCATTATACATGCCTGAGCACCCGTATCACTCCCGGCTAGGATACCGGTCCCGGCGATATTTATACTGAACACCTATTTCTTTACATGACTTAGCAGTTGATGAATCGATGAAGCTTAGGCATAGCTAGTATTTGCAAAATGGCTACTCGGAAAAGAGTATTACAGTGACAAACTAAAGGTCTGATAAAATCACATTTGAATTGTTGAATACGCTGCGTCACGTCGTACTACATGTCGTTATAATCAAACGTCATCTAATCTTAAACAAGTAACTTGGGTAACATATTGCGAAACCAATGACATAGATTATCATGAGGAGCGTCATCCTCTACTACTTGCGCTTTGTGAAAGTTATATGAAGGTTGTGGGGGAGCGTCAAGGCAAAAGGGGAGAAGGCGTTCTTCAAGCCATCTTGATGAATCGAATCTGCCGGTAATGTCCACTCATACTCCCGCAGCAACATTACAGCTAGGGCACGCTGCTCGTAGAGCGCAAAGTTACGAGCAGGACACTGCCGAGGTCCAGAGGCGAAAG